GCGTATGAAAAGGCTCGGAGGTCGGAGCGTTTTGTACGACAAGGTCTATTCCAACACGACGAGACACTTCGCTCGAAGGCGCGGGAGCTGGGAGTGGATGACCGATGTGTCACTTCAACTCTCGCTTCCTTCTTCGGAGCGATTGACGAGGTAAGTCAGCGTGCATGGCGTGGTAGTACACGGTCCAGGGTTAGTGAGGGCGTCTGTATGCCATTGCGTGTGGGTTGGTTTCCTTGCCGAAGTGTAGCCCTATGATGTCGTTGACACTCCTTCAATCCCGTGATGCATTGCCCACAATAAAAACAGGTCGCTGACAAGATCCTCGTCGACCGCTTGACCGATGCCCATCTCATCAAAGTGACATATCCTACTAGCCACGTGGACATGAATGTTCACCAGCAGCGCCTCGTGTTCAACATTGGGGGGTGGCTTTTGAGTTCCGCTCTTTCGCGGGTGAAGAGACAGCGTTCTCTTGGACCGGAATTCCTCCCGTTTGTCAATAGCCATAAGTATGAGTCCGCAGCGGAATTCCGAAACAAGCATCCTGAGTTGAGGGATTTGGAACTTGTGGTCGAGGAGAGGAACATTCGGATTGATGGGAAGGGTCTTATCTTTCCGTCGAAGGACTTTTACCTGTTCGTTCGTGCACTTGAGGTTGGGTACAAATTCTCGATGCTAAACCCCGCCCTGTTGGCGACGTATTTGGGAGGTTTCCCCGTCGGAAGTAAAAAGGGTGGTGTCCATGGCGGGTCCCGTGAAGGAGGCATGGGCGAAGTGTGTACGTGGGGTAGAGGATCCTAACCTCGGACCCGCAGGGGGGAAGGGGCACAAGAAGCAATGTGACGAGCTGCTCGCTTTGTTTTTGTCGAAGTGGCACAACTGCCGCATCTTCGCTTTCGCCAAAGAGCTGACGAGCTTAAAGAAGACGTTGAAAAAGCGAAAAGCAGAGATGGCGTTGAGGGACAAGTTGAAGGCGGGAGTTGGCAGTAGTTCCGGTCGTCATGCGCCAACAAGCAAATCCGCACCCAAGGGGCCGAAGGTATTTACCCCTGAATAGAGGGCGTGTCAGGACAAACTGAACAAGTTCGTCGGCCCCCAAACCTCGGCGAGGTTGACGGTTGTTGATCTCAGAGACTATATCAAGGAATGCCGCGGCAAGGCGCCGACGAAGTTTTCGAAGCACGAGCTTAAGCAGATGTTGAAGACTTACGCACCGCGCGCTGGGGTCTCAAAAGACCCCAGTCTGGAAGCTCTCAAGCCAGCGATAAATCCACCGGACAACTGGTTTGGATGAGTGATGTAGCAGGGGTTATGGTTAGATAGACTATTCTGGCGGTTGGGTGGGTCGGAGATGCCGGCCGGTCCCTGCCGCGACCGGCAGGGTTGTGCTCGTTGTCAGTTGTATGTAGGGCAGGATAACATGTAAAATGAAAATAAACACCGAGAGGAAGCATAGCGTACGGGTTTCAACGGTGGGGACGGCTTCTTGAATCCCCCTTCCTTCTTCGGCCATCACGGCAGTTTGTGTGCGTTTTTGTAAAATATAGATGGGGACGAAAGGCGAAATACCTCCTGCTTGTACGTTTGTGTCCCTCGGTGAGGCGATCACCCTCTTACTACCAACTGCGGCCCATCGCCTTTTGTCATGACACTTGGAAACACGAAACTGTCCGGTGTGTTCGTGCGGAGCTCCTCCCATACGCTCTTTCGTGACAGCGTGCCCAACACTGGACACGACGGGCCCTGGCTCATCCTCGAAATGATTTTTCCGTTCCAATCCCACGCCCGCGTACCACACAAATGACTCCAACACGTATGTCGTTGTAGGGAGCATCCACATACATCAAGCAGTGCTGTTGGACCACGTGGGTGTCGATCGACTACATGAACCTACACGACCGTTCGGCCGCTCAACATAACACTACACTCCACTGCATTGTCATCTGCAAGGAACCAGCTGAGACTGCTCACGATAATTTAGCAGTGCCATAAATAACGAGAAAACAAATAAAATCGAAAACCTCAGGGTGACGGGGCAGGTTCAGCTATGTACCTAGACTCCGATCGAGATCCCTCCACACCAAACGTCACAAAGTAAAGCCCGGTAGACATCGAGCGCCACGCGCCTCAAAAACATGCGTCTCGAAAATATTCCATGCCGAAAGACAAGCAAACACGAATAGTCGGCCACACGACAGCACAAAACAGGAATAAGCCCCGCCCCACGAAAAAAAAAATGGAAGAGAGCGCACATGAACAGAAACTGAAAATATCCGATCGCCCAAACGAGGACATAATGCCAAACACCGAAAACAACACAACCGCACACACACCATCTATATAACCTGCGGGCTGAGCACGTGCATGGTACAACCAAGTCCGGGGGGAAATGTAGAAGAAAACGTGAAGTCGAAGTGCCCATGGCTGCTGGGCATGTCGCTACCTACGCTGACACCCAACCGCACTAAAGCCAGCACAACGGACAGCCCTCGGCACATCTGAAACTGCGACTCTCGAAAACATGGTGTGCGTCGTCCCGCGTCTCGGCTCTTACTACTTGGGCGCGCTCAGAAGCGTTCGCAGGGAATGCAGCGCGCACTCCCTGCGAATCTTCGAGCTGGAACGCCATACCAGCCGACCTCGAAGAGTTGCGCCGCCTTGTGCCATGGAACATCCGCGCGGTGTCTCCAGCCCTTGCAGCTTCGATCGCTTGCATGGCCGTCGGGTTCTTGTGCGTCCCCCGACCAGACCGGATGTGCGCAAACCTGTGCTCGAGGATGTCCTGCTCACGGCGATGCAAACGGCGATCAAACGCATCATGGTCATACGGGAAAAGATTAGTTCAAGCGCACAACATGCACAGGGACAATAAATGAGACATCGCACACAATGCATCACCTACAACGGATAATACCAAGCACGGCCGCGTGCAGCTGGTCAAGAACAAGGCCACAAGTGATACAACAAGCAGAGAAACGAAACAAAAAAACTGGGTCACCTGGCTGAACATGCGGGGGTACAAGAAGCGCCCCCCGCTCACGAGGTCCTCGTCCTTGAACACATAGCGACACATCGCCACGAATCCAAGGATTGTTGTGCGCATGTCGGTCCACGAGTAGTCGGTGATGAAGTGGTTCGCCCACTCCTTTGGGCCAAAGTGCGCCTCGAGGCTGACCTGCCACGAGTCGAAGAACTCAAGGATTTCCAAGAGCCTTCCCAACAGAGGGCTGTCCGCGCCGGTGATGTACCCCTTGCGCTTGTTCCCCCCCTGCTTGCGTTCCACCTCGTTGAGCCCGTAGACGCCTGATCATTGGAAGGCGCGGTGAGGATGGGGTGCGGTTGTTTATCCCTAATCGAACATGCGGGAATAGCCATGAAAGAGGGACGAGGAAATTCGCATGTAGGGCGACGCCGCACTTCTGCTTAGCACAAAAAAAAAATGAACGAATTATCCTCCCCATCACTCCGTCGAGCCGTTTTTACTTGTGGTCGCCCTCCCCCCCCTCCCCGCCAGACGAAAAAAAAAAAAAAAGACATGGAGGACGACATCGTATTGTTCACACACCGTTCATGATATCCAAGAAGTCGTTCATCACTTCGGCCAGCTCCGCGTAACACGCGATTTCTCCGTTGGGAGAAGCGAGCTTCTCCTGGGCGCAGCCACAGACGTAAACTGCGGTCCGGGACACGCACTGCGGAAATACGGAAGGTAGACATGGCTCAGCGCGGACGTTGCCGTAGGTTTGCGAACACGTTATCCGAATTGAAATCAATATCGGGCCGAAAATCGGCCACAGCAAGGGCGTAGATTTACCGCTTGCGNGCCACAGACGTAAACTGCGGTCCGGGACACGCACTGCGGAAATACGGAAGGTAGACATGGCTCAGCGCGGACGTTGCCGTAGGTTTGCGAACACGTTATCCGAATTGAAATCAATATCGGGCCGAAAATCGGCCACAGCAAGTGCGTAGATTTACCGCTTGCGCGAACACCTGAATGCGACATCGACCCCACTCAACTTCACCGACGTCAACCCTCGCCCGTGATACGAACTTCCCCAGCACTTTTAACAAAAGGAAAGGAAGACTGCACTAGCNATAAAAAAGGTAGACATGGCTCAGCGCGGACGTTGCCGTAGGTTTGCGAACACGTTATCCGAATTGAAATCAATATCGGGCCGAAAATCGGCCACAGCAAGGGCGTAGATTTACCGCTTGCGTGAACACCTGAATGCGACATCGACCCCACTCAACTTCACCGACGTCAACCCTCGCCCGTGATACGAACTTCCCCAACACTTTTAACAAAAGGAAAGGAAGACTGCACTAGCTTCACATCCAAGACATTCTTCGGGGGGGTGGGGTATGACTAGTCACAGTTTTCATACCTTGGCCGACAGCCTCACGCTCATGCAGTTGTGGCTGTTCCTGTCCAGCATTTCCGGCTCGAACTTGAGGAAACGGCGGAGGTTCGAAGCCACCTCCGCCGCTGAAAGAGACCCACCGCCGCGCTCCTCGTTTACCCATACGGTCTCCAGGGTCTTGAGAGAGAACGACACCCACTCGAACTCCTCCGTGTCGCGGTTCCAGAACAGGTTCTTGAGGTGCCGCTGCTTGCTGGGGAGGCTGCTGTACCAAAGAGCGTTGACGACCTGCTTCAGGAGATGCGGGGGGTCGGACATGTTGAACACCGGTTCGCCATGGTGGGGGTGGTTGAAGGCCATTGGGAAGTCCGCGAAGCGCTCCTCCAACCNTCAGGAGATGCGGGGGGCCGGACATGTTGAACACCGGTTCGCCATGGTGGGGGTGGTTGAAGGCCATTGGGAAGTCCGCGAAGCGCTCCTCCAACCGCGACTTCGGATCGGCCCACTCACCGAAGGTTGAGGTGGCGAGCTTCGTCTGGAATGAACGGCTGGGCAGACAAGAAAAGGCGACAACAACATATGGCGGTCAGATAAAGTGAGGGCGGACATGCTTGGTTGGGTGCAGGTCGGGCGCAGGACACGTGCGGTCAGGTTCGTCTGCATGGTTTTCAGCACCCCCCCACCCCCCTCATCATTACAACAAAGAAAAAACTGTGCGACTTACTGCTCGCCGGCACCATCACAGACGGTGCCGATGACGTCGATTTTCTTGTCCGGATGGGCCTCGTACAACCTGAGCATGATCTCATCGAGCATGCGCGAGATCTTGGGCCCGCTCAGGCCCCTCACCGCTTCCCGGTAGACGCAGAACTTGTACTTCGGGTTCCCGATGCTAACCCACCACACCTGCCAGCGCCGCGGGCGAGCCAAAGAGGGATGGCCAAGCACACAACAAACAGCAGAGGGAAGGACAGGCAAGGCAAATAACAAGGAGCAAAAAAAACAGCACGATGGTGGGTGAGTTTGTGCGAAAAAACACATCGCATGAATCCTGAGAGCAGTAGCGCCCCGGCAATCCATGTGACCACCCCCACCGCAAACTAACCCTACAACGCAAACGAGCAAAGATATTTTACGCTTGGTCGCATCTTATAACCACTGCGTGCGCATTCCTACGCGCGACACTACACGACAGACCCCTAAGCACAAAACCTGAACACACAAAAAAAATAAAAAAAATCATACTTCGTATATACGCATGCTGCTACCTCCAGGTACTGGGTCGCCATGAACGTCTCGAGGGTGTCTTCCAAGCTGATGGTCTTGTCAACACCTTGCACGGCCTCCAGCGGGTGGTACAAGACTGAGTCACCGGACACCAGGCCAGAAATCCCTCCTCCATTCGGGCGCACTGTGAAGCCGTTGGTGTTGAGGTGCATACAGTCCCAGCAAAGGATGCCAGCGAGGTCGAACCTACCCAGGTTCTCCTCGGCAGCCATCTTCCCGTGCGCCTGAGGAATATAATGAGAGACGGGCGAGAGGAAAAGCGGAGGAGCTCAAACAAGTGCACCGCACGAAGGAGGCGGCGAGGCGACCGTGTTATAGGGATTGGCACAAACCATCCGACTCCATGCGAAATCCTCACACTTGTAACCGGTAGCACCATCAACAATTCGGCCAAATAGTCTGGGTTTGGACAAGGGCACCTCCCGCAAAGTAAAGCGACTGCTCAGAATAGTCAACAGAGGATATACGATATACCTCAATCAGGTCGTGCTGAAGTCCCCAAGTGGCCGTCCCACGACCCGCCCTCCTGGCCCTGTTGACGGTAGAGATGCTCGGGAGATGAAGGATGTCTCGGATGAGCGCGTACCCAGCCTTGCCCATCTTCGCCAAGGCGTAACAATACCACCGAACCACTTTCGGTGAGTAGCGCCAACCTTTCTTGGGCCCCTCGCGCTCGTTGCGGTCCATCATGTGCTGCAGCGAAAAAACGGAGACGGCAAGCAACGCAGTTGCGGTGTCCGGCTACATTACAGTTGTCGACACGACTATACCACGCCCGTGGTAGCGCTTGGAAAGAGGATACTTGTACTTGACCGCACAGGCGCTGTGTGGTATTTGCCGTGGCAATCGGAAACGAAATATTGGTACCTCATCGCATTGTACACAAGCTTCCCGTCTGGTCCGCAGATTTTTTCAATACTCAGCATAATGTCCCAAAACGTAAGCACTATAGCTGCCGAGAGGAAACCCCGACGCGCACACACAATGGGCTGAGCAACAACTCACGTCGACCAGCGCCCTCTCATATGAATCCTCCGGGATGTCGGCGAACAGCTCCTCCACGTCCTCGGTCTTCAGAGCCTCGTGTAGCCGACGGCCCTGATCATCGTCCTCCCCGGGGTGAATGACGATGTCGTCCTTCGCGGACTCCTCCACCCTCTGCTCCCAGTACCTCGCTCGATCTCGGAGATTCCACTTATCCCTTACCTGCGCGTTCATCTTCGACAGCTGAAACAAAGAAAAACAGCAACAAAACAATCCGAGAATTGGTGTTTGAGATATGAAGGGAGCGAACGGAGTTCGGTTCATGTTGGCTCCACCGATCGAGAGCGAAGGGGACGCCTGAGCGTATCCTGCGAACGGCCAGGAGGATAGCTTCCGATGAAACAAAGTGGTGCAGAGAACAACAACACCTGGTACCCATTTTGCGTCTGTGACACGCCCGAGCAGTCCGTATAATTGTTGACCGACACTAGTTAAGGATAGACCAACACACGTAAACAATCCATTTGTCGACGCTCCCGCAACGAAAACGAATCGTTTTAACTCACCATCTGTGGAGTAGAGAGGTACTTGTTGTTCGTGGTCTCCGCCCGGGCGGCCGAGGCGGCGTTGGACAGCTTGTGGGCGAAGGTCTTGGCGTGCCAATTCCTACACTATTCGCACCGCGGGAAAGAGCCGTCCTGCCGAGAGGTGCCTCGGCACCGGGCGTGACGAAACCGGTGTTCATCGCCAACGACGTGGAGCGTAGCGCTAACGCTACCCTCGCCTGAGCCAGGGGGTCCCGGGAAGTGTCCCACCCCCTCCATGTCGGGGGGCTGCCCGCGCCTGAGCGCATCTCGTACAACGTTGCCGAAGGCGTCGCGCCCCCAGTAGTCGTCGCCGTAGTGGATATAGCGGATCCCAGCGCACGGCCGCTTCGCATCCACTACCTCCAGAACCTGTTAGAAAGAACAGTGACGATGAGTAGGAGGAACATGTTGCAGCATTGGTCAGAGTTGGCCACGTAAGGGTATGGGCGAGGCAAATACGAGGCGGGCAAGGGTCGACAACCCTCTTCATGCAACTGGCGCCCTACAGCACTTGAAGACATCACCAGGATAATCTCGCGCAGATGTGAACACAGCAGTAGTCGCAGCGGTGTTTACCGGGGCAGACGCACTAGCGACCACGGCAGGAACAATACAAAAAACAAGAAAACGAAAAATGGCGAACCATAGGCTCTCTCGGCAAATAAACTTAATCTCTAAGTTAGGATCGAAGTCAAGCACAAACACGAAATTGAAAACCATCAACAGACAATGCCCTAACGGAAACCGAAGGACGAGGCGTGGCTTCCACCACAACTCTCACCTGTCGGAGGTCACCGGCGGTGTGGATGAACTTCTTCAAGCCTATGAAGTCAGCTGTCACGTCTCTATGATGGAAGGTGATCTTGTCCACACGCCCTGCACCGCCGGGTCCAGGCTTTTCAACGGAGATCTGCAACGGATAAGAAAAAACGAAAAGACATCATAAAGGAGGAGCGCCTTGCGAGCCCAGAGTACACTTGTGAGTACCCCTACCAAACGAAAAGAAAAAAAAAAGGGAACAATGAACCAAAGATTGAACACAAACGACAAAGGATCACACGTGCGTAAGAGACGACGACGACCGTGATATTCGAAACAAGAGAGCAGTGCCTATGGGGGTGGGGGCAGGGACCGGGTACGAACAGCAAGAGATACAAAAGGAGAGTGTGGGAGGAGGTCACCGAAAAAAGTCTCATAGCAAGCGCGCCATCTCCACGCCCACCTACATAATCAACCAGAGCAAATGCACACGTGGCCTGCAGGAAAACTAAATAAGTTTTAACCAACCCACCGCTACTGGTGTTCCATCGTGCGTCTTCTTGAACGTCCACGAGTGGTCCGGGCCGAACTCCTCGCACCACCCAGCCGGTAGGCCGAAGCCGAAACTGATGTGCGCTTCGGCTCGCTCCTCTCCCAAAGATGACCGCGACAACACCCACTTGGTCGGTTTGGAGCTAACCTTACGAAGTCCGTAATACTGGGCGAGGTCCTCGTCCTGACGCGGGAAATACGAGTCGGCACGGCACAGGGAACAAGGGACCAATGGTGTAAGACAAGGGCAGCATCTAGAGACAAATCTAACACAAGCATATTTCATGCTACACGCCGGGGAAAACATCCAAGAAAAAAAGCTGCGCACTCGCCTTGCACAAGGCGGACAGGCATGCGCCGGTAGAGGTGCGGGTACCCGTAAAGGGTGGGCGTCTGCCCCGGTGGCTATCCCACCACTTTCCAACCTCCGTATGGAATGCCGGAGTGTCCAGTTCGCGCGTACGGAGGTCCCGCAAGCCTTGCTCGAGGTACTGGTACACGGGTAGCTTGGCATCATGTAACCCCTCCCTGAGTTTGTCAGGGTCGAATCCGCGAGGGTTCCCGGAGCCTCCCTGCACAGCAAAACACACGCACCATTGCACAACGGGAAACGATCCTTTACCAATTCCATCCGGTGCTTTGATGGCGGAAGGCTATTTAGTAGCGCAACTGGTGGACTCCAAACGTTGGTTCGAATGAAGACATTTTCTCTCCACAGTACACGATTATATGCACGCTCCCAAAAAAAATAAAAAAAAAGCGGCGACTTCCATCACATACGATACCTTTGTGGCGTCGTCTGCGGACTCGAGGTTGTCTTGGACTACGGCGTCTCGACCGGGGTTTCGGCGCTTTCGCCCCCTCTCCCCTTCTTGTCTGTGGAACGATTCGCTCGGAGTGTGGTTGTCACGAGTCCCCAAGACCGTAGTAGAGCGATCCGGCGTGGTGGGGTTTGCAGCGTCCATACCTGTAGGTGGAGGCGCGCGAACAGAGCAATCGCAATCATCCCAAGCCTTGTATCCGACATGAGCAGGAGTACATCAAGGTTTTCTGAACCATTTATGTACAAAAGCCTACGGCAGTACAAGTATCCGGTAATAGGTGGAGCTTAATGCGGACATACATTGAGAATGGACTGAGAGTTCAAGACTCCAACATTCTGCATCAAAGAGTACTCGAGTATAAAACAAAAATAAAAGAGATGGACAACCATTATAATGGAACATGGTATTATAAGCGTGCCCAAGCTTCCTGTGGCAACACAAGCACAGCATCATCCTGTGCGCCAGCGCAGGGGGACTGCTGATGTTGTACATACCGTAGTTGGAATTAGGCCCCGTTTCGACGCCATAGCTGAAAGGGTCTGATATGAGCTATGTATCGACCCCAACTAGAACCCAAAATGGTCCGCCTTCCACTGCACCGTAGACCGCTGACCGACAACTGGCGGCTAGACTTCGATATTTCTGCGCCGAACGTTTACTTCGAACGAGCTAACGGCACTTAAACCCTAGCCTCACGGATGTGTATAGCTTGCTTTTTAAACTTGTGTTTGGTCCCCCAGAGGTTGGCCAGCTTCTTGGGTCGTGCTGCATTAGGACACCCGTATAAGGTGAGCACTTCATATATTATATTTTACACCTCTGGGACTTCAGCAACACTGGGAAACACGGCGCACGCGATACGCTTCGGTATTCGCGAACGGTACAAAAAAACTGCAGCAGGCACGACGCCAATACGCTCGAGAGGTTGGGTGTCAGCGGTCAAGGAAATTTGACTTTTTAGCCGGGGTGTTCCGGCAGTCGAAAGGGTTGTGGGGGAAACGACACCCGCGTTCGGTCTACACTCAGTGTTTTGCCACTCGGCCACTTAGAACTACCCATCTGGACTGCTGTGGGCACAAGGTATTGCGCCTTTTTCTGAACCCAAGGCACACCGCAGACCCTACACACGCCTTCCGGGAGGTGAAGGTCAATTCGAAGCGTTTTAAAAAACAGAGCCCAGCGAGGAATCTGTCGCTCAGGGTGTTGACAGAACTACCGCCATTTGATCAATACTCCACATTTTGCGAAACCGCAACGTACTGAGGTCGCCCACATGAACACAGCACGGGCCTGTCTCACTCGTTGCATACGGTACGCACTAGAAGCGTGGCAAGAGGCCATCGAATAGGCCAAGGTCGGGTTGGGGCCGCCTTCTGAACGCAGAGTCTCATCCTCTGCATCATCGATATCTCATGTTGCCTCACCTTTCTCAGTCCGACCTTCTCAGCACAACGGGATTGCGAGTATCTCCGTAGGTTTTCCACCCCGGCACCTCCGGCAGGTGCCCAGGTATCCAGAGGGACTGACCAGAGTGGGAGGTACTCTGGCGGGGGGTGCGCGGATGGGTTTTGCACATACCCCACAAAGCCCCTCCCCGAGCATGGTGGGACGGGGATGGCCATCCCCGTCCCCCAGTGAACTGCCTATGGTTAGAATAAAAGAGTCATAACCTTTGCGCCTGACCCTGTTTTTGGGCCAAATTTCTGTCACGCGGAGGTTCTTTCGAACAGCCCATTTCTCTGAACTTTTATTTCCTGACCAATCAAACTCTCCCTTCTTCCCCGCGCTCCTCGACTAGCTTTTGGTTAGGCGTGGGTTGTTTGTGGCGAAGGGGGGGGTCTTTTTGGCGAGCAGGGCTAGACTCACCCTCAAGGGATGACCGAAACCTTCTTGCTGCTGCGCATCCGCCGCGAGGCGTGCGTGTGGTGGTACATGAGGTCACCGAAGTGAGACATAGACAGCATGGCTACATCATTGCGGTGATACAGTGCGCTAGTTAACAACCATCTTGTAGGCTGGTCAGAGCTCTTGCGCATAACGAAATGCGGGTTATCAAGCTAGGCAGTGCGTCAACAGTGACGGGAGACAGGACAGACGTGTATTGACGTTGGACATGACAAAGAGAAAAGAACACATTGATTGTCGCAAGGCCGAGAATTGATGGAACACAGGACAAATCGA